CGCACTCTGCTGGAGAAGGTGGAGAATCTCCAGATCCCAACATAATCTTGGTTCGAGCTTTTGAACATCGTCAGGTTGTGCAGCCGTCTAGTAGTCGTGCTTCTGATGTCGCCTTCGTTTGGGCGCAGCAGTTCGTGGAAAAGGAGCGATGGGTCTCTAACAGCGTTTGGAGGCTTGTTCCTGCAGAGGCCCTCACAGCTGTCACACTGCAGCTGGACGACCACGCAGAAATGCAGCGTGTCAACACACTCCCTGCTATCCACAGCTGTTATCTAATTACATCCTTAGTGAAATACTGGTACCACACACTGTAAAAATTAAAGTCTATAAAAAAAGTCATTTTTTCTTCAATTAAGTGCATTCTCTTTCTTAAATTGAGGAGGTAAGACACTTTGCCAAAAGAACAAGACAATTTACATTTAAAATAAGAAAAAAAATTTTTTTCAAGAGCATATTATCTAAATATCTTATTTTAAGAGTAAAAAAATCTAATTTCATTGTGAAATCATCTGATTTACCTGCTCAAATTTGGGGGCAATACACTTAATTGAAGACATTTTTTTCTGATTTCTAGATGGAGTGCAGTAGTGTTTGTGTCTGTGCATGTGCAAGATTCAAACTGATATTTTTCTATCAGCTTGGAGCATTTTTAAGGTTTTGAAATAGATGATTCTTCCCATGAGGTCAAATGACTGCAGAGCTGATAAAGCCGATATAATCTCAGTAAGATCACTCAGGCTAAACAAAAGTTAGGTTCCTAATCCTAACACCAAGCTGCTGACACTTTCTCTTGACAGTAAAGGGACCACAGGATTGTGTGAGCTTGTTTTTGGGATGTTCAACTAAGCAAAACTAATAAACTGCAACGTGCCACGTTTTCCCTGGTGTTGCTCAAGAGTTTCTAATCTGTGGGAAACGACTGTAAAAAAAAAAAAAAGAAATCCTTACATGGTGGGAGAAGCATGGGCAGGACCCAAATTTTTTAAGAGCAAACTTGCATGGTCAGGCTGTCACACGCCCATTACCTCACCGTGATTCACATTCGCCACAGAATCAGTGCAGGACCGTACTTGACGAACATCCGTGATGATGAGTCCTCTTTTTATGGTCTTTTGGCTTTTCTTGTTTTTTTTTTTTTCTTAAACCAAAAGCATTTAATGAAATTTCTTTTCAACAGGCCTCTAATGCTGTGAGTGTTGGCTCACAGACGATAAGGATAAAACCCAAAGTCTCGCTACCATCAGGACCCCAGGCCTTGATTCAGTGGGCGGAGGATAATGGCTACGGTCCGGTCACATCCTACACCAGCACCCCCTTGGCAAGCCGCTTCAACATTCGTCTGCGAGAGCAAGGTAACCTGAAGCTCGCAGGTATCACAGCGATAGGTCAAAGGTCGACCTTAAAGAAACGGCTTGTGTCTTCCAGATGTGGCGTATTCTCCACACAAAGAATTGCCGCCTGAGATGTCCTTTCAGCGTCGTCACATTCCTGGGATAGAAAACAAATCGGCGCCGCCACGCTCCAGCCCGCCGTTTCCATTTCCTGGCCCCTGGTCTGGAGTTGAAGATGACTTGCATGAGTCCGGGCCGGTGAAAGGCCCCTTGGATGACGCTCTCACTGTGCAGTGCGAAGAGAAGAGGATGGTCGTCAGCATTGAGAGAAAGATCCTAGAGGTGATTTTAAAGACCTCCGCTACTTAAAAACTAATTATTTAAAGGAATAGTACACCCAAAACCTGATTAGCCTTCATTTTCTACTCACCCCCATGCTGAACAACAC